GCAGATTATCTTCTTTCTCAGTCAGTCTATCTCTCAGAGGATCACAGTGTCGTGATGCCTTCACTGACCACCGCACTGATCGGACTGTTTCCGTCTGTGTGTCAGTAGGCGTCACAGAAAGGGCGTAGTTGGGTCTGTTGCGTTGCTATGTTGCTCCATCAAAATAAATAGTCCGGAGATGTTATCACAAGACAAACACATTTGCAGCAAGCTGTATTTAATATGATACCAGTCACCAAAGTGTCGTGGGGAGACAGTCAAGACAAGGAAGTTTAAAAAGAAAAACTAACCATGAGCTCCAGAAACAAACTGTACTTCTCTTTATGTGATATACAATGAAAATAAACTTTAAATTTATCAAATATGCTTTAAAATGTCTCTGCTTTCAACAGCTGTCTTCCTTTACAATAATCTGTCCTCTCATCAGAGCGCACTGGAGCGCAGCGCTGCGCCAAGACAGTGGGGGCGTGTGCGTAAAAGGCGCACAGAGACTCTCCGGACAGACGGTCGGCCCTGAGAGAGGAGCGAAACGGTTGTCGGACGATGTCAAACTTGGCTGCTCGACAGATTCTTGTTTGTCTCTGACAGGAGATTCCCTACGCAGCTGTCCAAGAGTCAAACCGCGCAGAGTTACAGGTAGCCCAGGTTTTTCAAAATAAAAGCCTGGCTGACTTTAAAACACTAATGGGCAGTTTGCATGCAGCTATGTGGAGTAAATGTATAACATATGGCACATTTCCTGCCAAAAAGTGACTTATTACACTTGACTTATCATCCATTAACATGACTAAGGTGTTAAGGCACAGCACCCCAGAAAAGCTCACCATACCTGATTTATGTGTCTCACCCAGAAAGGAAAAAGGCACACTCTTACTCAAATAAAAAAGTTCTGAGAAGACGTGAGAGACAGCATCCAGGATATATTATCCATACAAATACCTCTAGACCCAAAGCTTTTTTATATTAGGTTTGTATCCAGTCAATCACAACATTAAAAGGAGACAACACATTTTAGAAATGGGCCCAGTAGGTGAGTAGGGTAAATTGACTTCTGAACTGTCAACAACTCTGCCCATGGAAAAAAATAAATAAATAAAAAAAAAAATCAAGGAGTAATGAATCACTGTTTCAGACTAAACAATCACTCAAGTCATATTTTTCTTGTTAATTGTTGTCAAAATTTGTACATTGATACATGTACTTAAACCTGTAATTTATTTATTTTTCCTTTTATTTTTATCAATTTATTTATTTTCCTCTCTCATTTATTCGTTTATTTTTTATCTTATTTATTAAGATGTATTTTTTATCAGTATTATTTTTATTATTAAGAAAATATAGAATGATTTATTTATTATTCGTATTTATTATTTTTATTATTAAGAATATATAATTATTTATTTATTATTTATTTATTATTACTTATTTATTATTCTTATTATCAAGAATATATAGAATGATTTATTACTTATTTATTATTCTTACTATTGAGAATATATAGAATGATTTATTTATTATTTATTTATTATTACTTTTTTTATTATTCTTATTATTGAGAATATATATAGAATTATGTATTTATTTATTTATTTATTATTACTTACTTATTATTCTTACTATTGAGAATATATAGAATTATTTATTTATTTATTACTTATTTATTATTCTGTATTATTATTATTATTATTATTATTATTATTATTATCTTATCATTTATATATTTATCTTTAAATTCATACTACTGGGGTGGATTACATGTGTTATAAATACTCTGCAGTTACACAGAGACTTTGTCCTGGTGTCCTTTTCTTTTGTGTGTTTGTGGATGTAATATAGCTACACATACTGGATGTGTGTGAGTGTATGTCTTTGTTTATCGTTGTTAAAATTAATTTTTTTAAAAATGCGGTTGGAAAGAAGAGTATTAGACCTAGATTGTGGGAACACTGTGGCGATTTAGGAGTTAAAGCACTGACCACAGACTGCTGACCAACATCCTCAGTTCATGTCCGGACAAGGACCTTTGTTACATGTTATTTACCATCTCTCTCTGCCCTCATTTCCTTGCCACCTCTTCACTGTCACGTATCAAATAAACATGCTCAAAACACAAGAGTTTAACACAGGATCACTGTGCAAGACAAGGCATCATGGGTAGATAAAAGTGTTAGGAGCCATTTTAAGATGCTCATCATTTAGATTTAGATTTTGTTTCAGTGGTGTGTATGACCAAAGAGATTAGCTAATAAACGACCAAAAAGAATTTGCCACACAAACAGCCTGAGGCCTTGGGGCTTGTTTGTAAGCCAGCCTTGGTGTCACATAAAGCAGCCTGTTCTGGTGATAAACACGCCTGTTAAATTAATAATAAATGGACGGTTCACATTCAATTAGCACCTACTGTGAAGCATTTGATCGCATAACATAATCTTCTCGCCAACATGGACGAGAAACAATGGAAATTTTGGGCAGACTATTGTACTTTTTCCTCCAGTATATTTGTCTGACAGCTTTAGGTACCCTTAGTCGTGACACCTTGTGATATTTCAGGAAAAGACTTCTGCTTAACGAGGCAATAACGAACAGACCAGATCAAGTGAAAGGTAAAGAGACACTAGCTTAGCTCTGAAGAAGCACAAAGGAATTTTGAAAGAAGCGCAGCAGCAGCACACTGATGATGTCAGAGGACTGTGATTGGTTGATTGCAATGTTGGTCCAGGACTGTGCTCAGGATTTTACCAAGTAGGACATGCTTTTGGATCAACATCCCACATGGCGTTCCAGGACCAACATTGCAATCAACCAATCACAGCCCGCTGACATCATCAGTGTGCTGCTGCCATGCTCAAAATTTCTTTGTGCCTCTTCAGAGCTAAGCTAGTTTTCCAAAATGAAGTTAGGAAAACTGAACAAAATTCTCAGTAACAAACCCCTTAGTGAGTTAGCTAGCAAAGTAGATTGGCTTGGCTAAACTACCAAGTCAGCTTGCCAATAGACTAGAATATTAGCAGGTTAGCTTGCTAACTAGATAGGCTACACTAATGAGTGAGCTTGCCAGTAGGCTAAAATATTTTTCATTAACATTAAGCGTTGCAATCTTGAAAAAGAAAAAAGTTTTCAATAGGCTGTAAAAAAAGGAGAGGAAATGTGTTAATCGCAGGTATTTACAACTGAAAATGCTATTATCCTTACTCTTAGTTTGTGAATGTAGCATAGCATAGCCTTCCTAGTTAGCAAGATAACTTGCTAATATTCTAGCCTATTGGCAAGCTTACTCGTTAGCAAAGCCTTCCTAGTTAGCAAGCTAACTCGCTAATATTCTAGCCTATTGGCAAGCTCACTCGTTAGCATAGCCTTCCTAGTTAGAAAGCTAACTAGCTAGTATTCTAGCCTATTGGCAAGCTCACTCGTTAGCATGGCCTTCCTAGTAAGCAAGCAAACTAGCTAATATTCTAGCCTATTAGAAAGCTTACTCATTAGCATGACCTTGCTAGTAAGCAAGCAAACTAGCTAATATTCTAGCCTATTGACAAGCTTACTCATTAGCATGACTTTCCTAGTTAGCAAGCTAATTTGATAATATTCTAGCCTACTGGCAAGCTTACTCATTAGGATAACCTTCCTAGTTAGCAAGATAATTTGATAATATTCTAACTTATTGCAATGCTTTCTTGTTAGCATAGCCCTCCTAATAAGCAAGCTAACTCGCTAATATTCTAGCCTACTGGCAAGCTTACTCGTTAACAGAGCCTTCCTAGTTAGCAAGCTAACTCGCTAATATTCTAGCCTATTAGCAAGCTCACTCGTTAGCATGGCCTTCCTAGTAAGCAAGCAAACTAGCTAATAGCCTATTAGAAAGCTTACTCATTAGCATGACCTTGCTAGTTAGCAAGCTAACTTGCTAATATTCTAGTCTACTGACAAGCTTACTCATTAACATAGCCTTCCGAGTTAGCATGCTAACTAGCTAGTATTCTAGCCTATTGGCAAGCTTACTCGTTAGCAAAGTCTTCCTAGTTAGCAAGCTAATTCGATAATATTCTAGCCTATTGCAACGCTTGCTTGTTAGCATAGCCCTCCTAGTAAGCAAGCTAACTCGCTAATATTCTAGCCTATTGGCAAGCTCACTCATTAGCATAGCCTTCCGAGTTAGCATGCTAACTAGCTAGTATTCTAGCCTGTTAGCAAGCTTACTCGTTAGCAAAGCCCTCCTAGTTAGCAAGCTAACTCACTAATATTCTAACCTATTGGCAAGCTTACTCGTTAGCATGACCTTCCTAGTTAGCAAGCTAACTCACTAATATTCTAACTAACCCATTGGAAAGCTTACTCACTAGCATTGCCAACCTTCTTAGCAAGCAAATTCATTAACCCTGCAGTAGCGTAATTTGTTCAGTTTTACTAACTTCATTTTGGAAAACTAGTTAAGCCCCGAGGAATTACAAAGGGATTTTGAAAGAAGTGCAGAAGCAGCACACTGTGACTGCAATGTTGGTCCAGGAACATTGTCCTACTTGGCAAAACCACGACGTGCAGTGCTTCATGTCCACTTTAAATATCAACACCGGTCAAATGCAACGTACACATTAATGCAGCAGTGATATTAATCCAGAAACATCATGTATAACAGTAAAACACTGACAAGGAACATTTTACTGCACAGTCAGTACTTTTATTTTTCATTCTGTTCATAAGACTTCTATTTTAGCTTGGTTTTGAACTTATTAGGTATTAGTTTTACAGAAGTAAAGGATCTGAATATTTTTTAAACCACCTTTTTTTTCCATCACTGTTTTTATGTCCAAAAAATCTGAAAGCATCACAGAATACACACAGAGAAACCAGAAAACACCATGACCTACTAACAGTTTGATGAGATAACCAGTGGCTATATTGGAACAATTTTTTAAAGAAACAGGCAGCCTCAAAGTAAAAACCACCGCCACCTACAGCGTCACCTGTTCGCTGCTTTTATTTTGAAGGAAACCCGCAGTGTTTCCGGTGCGCGCGCTGCTCTGTCCGCGCGGCTTGACGCGCCTCTCCTCTGTGTGCAGCCTTGCGTTGGGGTGAAGCCGCATAAAAGCGTTTCCACAATGCGGGCGTGAGGTGCTCCATGGAGTAGGGGATACAGGAGGAGGGTCACCGGCGTCACACCGAGCCTGTCCGCCAGGCACCGGAGGAATACATACAAAGAAATAACCATGTCGAACCGAAAGCACCGGGACAACCAGGAGATCTGCGCCCGCAAGGTCCGCGAGCTGGCCCAGTCTGGAGTAAACAAACACTGCTTCGAGTGCAACCAGCCCGGGGTGACTTACACCGATATCACGGTGGGCAGCTTCGTCTGCACGTCGTGCTCCGGAATGCTGTGAGTGTCTGCGGGGAGAAAAACCCCGCCGCGCCTCCTGGGCTCATTTAGCGCACAACATCAGTGTGAGGACACACACATATAGTGATATGGAGTAAAAGTACCAGGCCTGAGATTGCACCATGCACCACCCACAGCCAGATTCACAGGGTGTTATTTTATGTGTGCAGCGGTATCAGGGAGTGCTGGCTGGTGCGGTGCAGACCAGCCGATGTGCACACATTAATTTACGCAGTGTCTCTCTGTCTCTCGTGCGTGTCTCCCAACAGCTTCATAACCGACAGACCGCTAGTTGGTCATTTTCCAGCTCTGAGTTACGTTTCATTTCGTCATGGTGCAGGTTTGACACTACCCCCTCCTCCCCCCCCCCCCCCCTCTCTCTCTCTCTCTCTCTCTCTCTCTCTAGACTCTCTCTCTCTCTCTAGGCTCCTCTCCAGTGTGGGTGTGTATGTGTGTGTGTGCTGTCACATTTTGTTCTGCATGTTCAGCCTAGTCCCAACACTCCCCAGGAAGACGGGTTCAGCACTTTCATGCGTTGTTGCGCAATCCTGCACATGTAGAGGAGCAGTTGTCCCACTTTGTGCCCCCCCCCCCCCACCTAGCATGGAGATCATAATAAGAGGTTACTGATGGACACATGTCTCTCTGTCACAAGGCACCTATGTCACACCGATTCTGCCCTTAAATTCACGGTCACATGTCCAAAACGTCTCCCACCTGCTCTGCCCCCACCTGTCCTGCCTCAGCTTTCATTTCAGAGTTTACTCCAGATTCCTCTCTCCATCTCTTCCCAGGAGAGGACTCAACCCTCCCCACAGAGTCAAGTCTATCTCCATGACAACCTTCTCCCAACAGGAAGTGGAATTCCTCCAAAACCATGGCAACGAGGTGAGTGACAGTCACATGTCTGCAGCTCCAGGTGGGCCTGGAGGCAGGGCCTGATGCATCTGCTGATGAGAGTGCGTGTAAATGTGTTGTTGTTGTTGTTAAAGTCATGTGAGGTCAGACAACAAGAGCTGCAGCTGAGTTTTTGGTTCAAGTTCAGGTTTTAAAGTCACTTTCCTGCTCTGGAATATGAAACGTCCCTCATGGCGACCAGTTGGACCAGTCTTTGTGGTCAGGCTCTTTTTTGGGGGAAGAATGCTGCTGCCAAGAAACAAAAGGACCAGCACTCTCTGGTCCCACCCAAACCACGGTCTGTTTCCTGTGTGTGTGTGTGTAAATAGTTCCCAAACTTTTCTCAAAGCAGGGCACTCCTTCATAGAGACATGTCAACTGTAAAATGTCACCATTAATTACAACTTGTCACAATTCTTTTACAAAATGTGACGCTCTGGTCTTTTTCTGATTTCACAAGATTATCATCTTAGAATTATGAAAAATAAGGTTTTCATGGGAAAAAATATGCTGCTTTTCTGAATTAACAAGATCAATATTACAGAATTATGTTAAAAGTTGGCATGTAAAATGTGAAGTGAAATGGATAATATCTCGTAAATTCTTGTTTTTCTTTGTTAACAAGATTATTTTCTGAGAATTCTGAGAGAAGTAGAAAAAGTGAAAGAAATCAATTCTGCTATTTTTTTGATTACCAAGATTATTATCTCTGAACTCTGAGAAAGGTTTTTGTGTAAAAAAAGTCTGCTTTTTTTTTAGAATTTACAGAATTACTATTTACTATTATTATTAATAGAAGAAGAATTTTAAAAATCTGCTCTTGTTTTTCTAAATGAAATAAATTTAAATTTTGTAAATTTTAGTTTTTCCAAATTAACAAAAATATTATCTCAGAATTGTGAGAAAAGTGTTTATGTAAAAAAAAAAAGCTATTTTTTTTAATTAACTGCATTATTATCACAGAAGTATGACAAAAGGTTTTTTTTCCAAAAAAAAAAAAAAAGTCTAAATTAAATAGATAAAAATTCTTGTTTTTTGAAATCAATGAGATTTTCTCTGAATTATGAGAAAAGATTTCATAAAAAAATCTGCTATATCTCAAAATTCTGGGAAGAAGTTTTCATTTTAAAAAAATCTGAGTGAAACAGATTAGAATTTTGTAAATCTTTGTTTTTCTGAATTAGCAAAATTATTACTTCAGAAAAAGTTTTTATGAAAATATCTGTTCTTATTTTTCTAAATTAAATAGATAATATTTTGTAGATCCTTGTTCTTGTAAATTATTAAGATTATCTCAGAATTCTGAGAAAAGTTTTCATGTAAAATATTTGTTCCAAATTTCTAAATTAGCTAGATTATTATCACAGAATTATGACAAAGGTTTTTTCATTAAAAAAGCTCTTGTTTTTCTAAATTAAATAGATAATATTCTTGTAAATTCTTGTGTTTTTAAATCAATGAGATTTTCTCATAATTATGAGAAGTTTTCTTAATACACAAGAGAGATAATCTTATAAATTCTTGTTTTTCTGAATTAACCAGACTGTTATCTTGTTGATTAAAAAGACAACGGAGCAGAATTTTTCTCAAGTGAGTGCATTACACTTCTGAAGATTAGGGCTGCAAGAAACGTTTTTTTTTTGTCTGATAAACTGTTTTAAACCCCAAACTATTCCGTTTACTGTCACATGAAACACAGGAAAAACACCAAAACCTTCATAATTACAGTTGAAAACAATGAATGTTTGTGTTTTTACAAGAAAAAATAACTGTAACAACTCACTAACTAATCAATTCATAGCTTTAGCTCTGCAGCACGTACATCATTATTGCACATTTGAAGTTCTCAGATATCAATATCAGCCTCAAAAATCCAGTGTCAAATGAGCTATCACTTGCGTTACCATGACAACTGAGCTGTCATGTCATCAATCTCTGCTGCGGCATATTTAACAGGGTTGTTATTGTGACACTGTTGATGTTTATTTATATCCTCCACTTTGTGTGTTTGGAAACATCAATATCGAAATGTAGTTGATGTAAATGTCACCTGCCTTTTTTATGTGGTAGAACTTTATTAAAAATGGGCAGTGAAACCGAAACAAAAAGGCTCCACACAGGCAGCATTTTGGGAACCACTGGTGTGGGCAGCACTCACTACTGAGCTTATATCACACAGATAAACAGTGAAGTGTTTCAGGCTATCAAGATGAGTGCGGACCATTTTTATGAGCTCGCTTTTGGCCGGGATGTGTGTGTGTGTGTGTGTGTGTGTGTGAGGCAGTGGTGTGTACCATCCAGCTTTTTCTCCACATCACCCTCTGAAGAGGCCAGTCCTGATTCATACACAGTAAAATTTGCCGCACTCTTAACTCTTGAACCGAACATGATTCACTGATGAGAAAATGTGTCTGCGAGAGATTCTCTGTGACCAAATGTGAAACAGACACCGACCCTTTCTGCTGTGCTGCGTGACCTGCGAGAGTGTCACAAATCCTAATTGTTTGGCAAACCGTGTGTGTGTGTGTGTGTGTGTGTTCAGGTCGGGAGGAGGACTTGGCTGTGCGTGTTTGACCCAAAGACGGACGGCTGCTCCGACATGAAGGACTCTCAGAAGTTCAAAGAGTTCCTGCAGGATAAATATGAGAAGAAAAAATGGTGAGGGTTTTTGGTTTTGTGTGCAGCGTCACATGCTAATGTGATCAGGCCGTAGAAGAAGCTTTGACGTGACTGTTATTTTGATTAATTTACAATAAATCGATTATAATATGGTGTGTAAAATATCAGAAAATAACAAAAAGTCCTATCACAAGTTCACAGATAAGGGATATCTTCAAAACTGCATATTTTTTCTAACAGTGTCCCACTTTTGGATGAATTGAAGACATTCATGGCCCACAGAGAATATGTCCTTATGACTTTGGGTATCCCCTGACTCTTCCCACAGCGCACACATTGTTTTTTTTGTAAAATATCTCAACAACTCTTGGACTGGACTGCTGTGCAAATTGGTACGGACAGTCATATACAGTCAGGATGACTTTTGAAAACATTGTTTACTCCAAGACTAATGACATTACCATTAGCCTCAGCTGAGTCTTCAGTGCTTATTGACCAATCCCATGTCCTGTTGCCCTTGCTTACTGCTGCTAGGTCGAACAGGCTTGACAAAAAGAGATCCTATTGAGCCCCTTTCCCACTGCGCAAAAAGCCCACAAACACTTGCTTACATCTGGAGTTTTTATTTAATGGGAAAGGTTGTAGTTGGCGATCATTCCCAGGTCAAGTGACTCCGCAGTGGTCACAGGTATTTATCGGCTTCAGCTCTAATTAGCTTTGATCGGCAGTGATGGAAATACAACACCAGGGTGGATGCGCTAGTTTTAACCCGTTTCTTGAGAAGATGCGATGACAGGCCGCCACAAAATACCATCCGTCCGAGTTTTAGGGAGACTAAATGAGTGACAAATTAAAAAAAAAAAACCAAGTAACCACCAATTTTCTCTGGCCAACATGCTGCTTTCTACCAGTTACTTACGTGTTTTTTTCCCAACCTGGTCTCACTACGAAGTCGTCGAAATCCGACAGACATTGACGGAAAAAGTAGTTCCTTAACGTCCGTATGATACGCAGCCGGTCACCCTGTTCATTTTTCCTAAACCTAACCACATGCTTTTGTCATCCTATACCCAACTGCGCATCAGTTGTTGGAGGAAAAAAAGTCAATTTGCATTGTTGTACCGACGTAGTGCTTTTATTTTGAAAGAGACTGTATGTAAATGTTAAATTTACTGTGAAAACAGAAGTGTATTTTGAAAGAAGACAATACATGTAACAGGCAGAAGTTGACACGGCTTCCCAGAACGTCAACAACCAACACACCCCAGATACCTTACACGTCGTATTTGGACGTGGAAGGTCCATGACCAAACGTTTATATGTGACGAGGTCGGAGTGAGAATGTAAAGAGAGAATGTGAGAATGCGCTAATTTTGGTGGAAAAGGGATATGAGATAGGTCTGGGCATCAGACAATAGCTATAGCTTCAAGAAGTTGACAGCAAGGACTAAAATGTGCCATTGAAGGATTCGTGATGGGATGCTAGACGTCATGTATATCTTAATAAATAAAATCAAAAGTTACTTTGGGTGGCACATAGCCTTACAGACATAATACAAACAAAGTAATGTTAGCCTTAATCTTGCTAACGCTATTTCTTGTCATCTCAAAATATGTCAACAAGTTAAATTAACTGAGAATGTTAGCATTCTGACATTAGCATTTCACTCATAGCATTGCTGTGCGTAAGTATGGCTTTACAGAGCCGTTAGCATGGCTCTTAGGGCTAACACATATGCTTCATCTTTTACCACTCTGAAAAAATGAGATGGGGTGTAGGGTGCTACTTTGGATGTATTTGAGAAGTGGCTACAGCATCGGCTACTTCCTGTATATCGCGCTGCTAACTTGAAAACGTGAAGGACTCGAAAGTTGTAATTCCAATTTTTTGGCCACTACGAACGTTGGCTTAAAGGCCTAGTGTGTTTCCTGTGGGTCTTGGTGCTACTGTTGAACCTACTCTGTTCGTCTGTCTCCAAGGGCACAGAGACAGGTCACACCTAATGTTGCTAAGCGACCATAACCAGCACTGTATCACACCCTACTTACCTGAAATCCAAAGTTCGGAGCCGATCCTCTTCCAAGTGTCATTTCTAAGTGTGTTGTTGGCCTAAAATGTTGTAATTGGGATTGATGTAAAGCTCAAGGTAGTAACTTCTCCTCCATAGTTACCATAGACTGATATGTACGTAGGAAAGGAAAGATATCTATGTGCTATGTGCCCTGAAAAGTCGACGTTTGGAAAGGCTTGCACACCATGAAGACATTACTCTCGCTTTTTAATGCGCCTGCTATACGACAACATCGAAAACAATGAATCAGAAGACCCCAAAAACGCGGCATGTGTCGGGGCCCTTAGACTTGTTCTGGCATTTTTGCCTGGAAGAAAAGTTTGAAAGATGAATCAGTTGTCAACAAATGGTTACAGATGAATTTTCTGTTGATGGACTTTCAGTTGTTTTAGCTCTACATTAGACCCAAACAACAACTAATGACGTTTGTTCCAAATTTAGACCTTCGCTGTTTGAAATGGAGACGCCCACTCAGGAAAATTAGCTCAAGGATAAGAGCTGCTTTCATGCTGGGTATTAAACAACGGTCATTGTTTTGGGTTTAGTCTCAAGCTGTGGAAATATTCTATGTCACGATGTTTGATAGATGGATGACTGACAGCATGTCAGGCCAGGTTTTTGAGGCCGGGTAGTGACGCAGATTCATTTTAACGGCACTAAATAATCTGTCTATTTCAGGCATTTTTCCAAAAGTAAGAACCGGAGGGATGTCGAGGGTCCTTGGAGCCCAGGGGTCCAGGCCGTGCCTCCTTCCCATGGTCCCTTAGCAAGCCAAGCCCCCTCCCATAACCTGCCCCCTAACGCCAGGTCCACAAGGCCGCTGGTGAGTGAGCTTAATGCATCCTAAATGTGCATGTAATGGATTTAGAGAGCAATGAAGACGAAGGGGAGAGGATGAGGATTCAAGAGAGAAAGCAGGTGGGTGTGGTGGAAGAAGAGGAAGTGAAAGGAAGCAAGTAGTTCAAAGAGTGTTCGAAAAAAGAGGAAGAGACTAGAAGGTGAGGAAATGACCTGAATTCTTTCGCACACTGCGGCAGAGAGACAGAGACTGATGGGTCGGACAGCGAGAGGGCCAGGTAGCCTCCACATCAAAGCCGCTGCTTATGAATTATTGAGAAAGCATGAAAGAGACTCACTTCTTCTGCCTTTGTGTCTTTCCTTCTGCCTCCCATCTGCTCCTGTCTTCCTATCTGCCGCCCTCCAGTCTCAGTCCCAGCTGCCGTCATGGGATCGAGCTCCCGCGATCTCACCTGCCGACATGAGGACGGACGTGTTCACCGCTCGGCCATCGCGCTCCCAAAGCTTCAGAGACCCCCCTCTGAAAGGTTGGGGGTCGATCTTTATCAGAGGAGTTGGTATTTTTGGACTGAATGTGATCGATACCTTCACCTATTTGTTCTTGTCTTTGTCTGTTCTGTCTCTCTGATACAGATCCCACCCTGTGTGGGATAGAAAGACAGCGGCCAGGCTCCCTGTCGTCGGCGCTGGGAGCTCAGAGCCACGCCCCCTCCTTCCCCGCCCTCCCACGACCCTCAGGTGTGTCCTCTACTAGCCCCCTTGTTCTCCATTCCCTCTTGGTCTCAATCATCACACTTACAAACTTAAATTCCATACAAGTCAATGCATATCATGTATGAAAGTACAAAGGAAAGGACAAAAAACAAAAGAACTAATGGAGAGATCAAGTATTCTTGTTGTAGTGCATCAAATGTGTATTCATCCGCCACTGAAAATAGTCCCTAAAAATCGCACTTTTCTTATACTTCCTGTTTATGCAACATTTGCTCAAATCTACAGTTCCCAGCTGCTTGAGGCCTGAGGGCCGTAGACTGGTTTTGGAAAGTAGAAAGTATTGAGAGACAGACTAAAGGCTGATTTATAGTTGCACATAGGCTTCACGTAGAGCCTACGATGTAGCCTAAAGCAGGATTTATACTTGTGCGTCTGCTCTATGCACACCCTACGATATAGCCCACACATGTCACCTACACCGTTGTGAGCATTTATACTTGTGTGGTGGTGTGTCTGTGTCACTCTGCAGTTACACCTCCAAAACACTAGTTGGTGGTGGAGGTTTCTGTGAAGTGCTGTAAAGTTTAGTGGATTCAAAACACAGATGGTGTGAGACAATTTCAAACACAAGTACACAAATCAGCTTCACTATAACTCACAGCATTCACAGACAAACACTTGTCTTTATCTGGACACATTTTCTCCACAAATACAACATACTAACGTTATTAGCACAAGCCTATGGCATTTTACAGTGTATAAATTAGCCTAGTAGTTAGCGGACTTTTCCTCTACTCATATGAAACCAGGGACAACAGCAACATTTAACAAAGGTAACGTTACAAAATTCGGCTCCATTACAGCTCACACGGTTCACTGACAAAACAACTGTCCTATACTAAACAGATTTTCCAAACAATTACAACATGCTAACGTTATTAGCACAAGCCTATGGCATTTTACATTGTATAAATTAGCCTAGTGGCTAGTGGAATTTTCCTCTACTCATAGGATGGACAACAGCAACATTTAACAAAGGTATCGTTACAAAATTTGGCTCCATTACAACTCACAAAGTTCACTGACAAAACAACATTTTCCAAACATATACAACATGCTAACGTTATTAACGTTATACGGCGTAGGCTCTACGTCGACACAGAGCGGACTTTCACCCAAGAGAGCAGTGTTTGTGTCCCGTAACATTCTAAAGCCAACCCCTGTTCTTTTTTCCTAAACCTAACCACATGCTTTAGTTTTTGGAGTTAAAAAACTTGAATTTGCGGTGTTGTACCAGCGTAGTGCCTTTATTTTGAAAGAGACTGTATGTAAACGGCAAACTTCCTGTAATAATGGAGGTGTATCTTGAAAGAAGACAATGCATGTCCCAGAACGTCAGCAACCAACACACCCAGGGTACCTTGCACATTGTTGGTGGACGTGGAAAGTCCATGACCAAACGTCGATACGTGACAAGGTCGGAGTGAGAATGTGTTCCTAATCTTGGTTACTGGTTAATTTCTCGGGTCATATTTCTGCTGAAACATTGTGAAGACTTTACTTTATTAAAACTTTTATCGGTTAATTTGAACAGTAGAAAATGAGGCTATACTCTGTTACAGTCATTCCTCAGCTGCAGTGACGTGTGCAGAGATACAGAGCACCTAGAAACGCTGACCAGTCAGAGCAGACTGGGCTTTTTTAGGAAGGTGGCGTAAATAGACAGGCACTAAAATGGAGCGTTGCAGACAGAGGTTGAATACAGGTGTTTCAGCACAGACAGTATGAGGAGAATAAAGTGTTTTTATAACATTAAAACATGTAAACATGTTCTAGTAGAGACCTTAATCCAAGTATGAACCTAAAAATGAGAAAAATAGGTCCATTTAATGTGAGATAATGAAGGTAGGTAGGTGCATAGTGTCACCCTGTCACCACTCTGTGCTCTTAGTGTCACTTTGGGAATGACAAAGAGAGACTTAGCTTGCAGCCGTCATTTTCCTCTTGACTGTTTTTTTACCGTATCATGTGGGTTTAATAAAACGGCTCCATGTCATCCTCTTAGCACACTTGGTTGCTTTTCATGAATAGGAAGATTCAGCCGGCTGCTCAGCTGGCCCCAGATGACAGCAGGGACAACAGCTTCAGTGACAAACTCTCCTCTCTCCACTCCTCCCTTAACATATCCCTCTCCCCTTTTTTTTCTCTGTCTCCTGTCTGTCTCACCTCACTCTCCTCTCGTAGCCAGTAGCTCTTTCAAAAACCACTTCACTTTAGGTAAGACGCGGCACCAGCCGATGCATTTTGAATGTGTGCTGAATGGCTGAGATCAATAAGCTCTTCCTTGCTGTATCATTCATAATAAATGGGCCAATCTGCGAGCCGTGCCGCCGCTGCTGCTGACCGTGCCTCACATGCATGTGAATTCAGCTTCATTTTAGGTAGCAGTTTGAGAGGAGACGCAGCACTCTATATTCATTAAACCACCCGAGTCATGGCTGGCCAGTGTCACATGCTGCAATTGGGGTCGATATTTTTCTTCATCAGTTGTGTTTCCCCACTTCAAAGCCAGATCTGAAGGTTGGGAGGGTCAAGGAGACACACACACACACACACACACACACAGACACACTGTTCCCTCAGAGGAAAAAGAGCAAGTTTAAAGTAATGCTATTTTTAGGCTGGAGCTGCTGCTGCTGCCTCCGTCAGCAGAGGGCCGCTGATATTTCGCACCACGTTGGTGTCGGAGCACTTAAACACTATGTAGGACACAGCTGTAATCCCACGGTACACATTAATATCCCAAACAAGTATTCCAGGAAGTTAAGGTATGTTTGCAGAGATAGGCCGTATCTCCAGCCGTACAGTAGGGTATGATCACATCCCAGAAACACGCAGCTCTACTTTTGCATGCTGTATATCTTCCGATAATGTGTATCTGGTTTCTGTCACTGACTCCTCAGCTGACGGAGGAAGACAAACTGGATTTAAAAACAAAACATTCGTATTCCCTTGCTAACAGTGTTGGCTGACACCAGCATGCTTTGTGGCTGATGTTTGTGGAAAGCTTGCTACCTGCAAAGATGTTAATTTCCTGCCTTTGTTACCATCTAACAATTGTATTTTTGATGTTGGTGCTTTGAAAGCTATCCAAGAAGTTGTTTGGCTCGCTGCTGTGCCTTTTGATTTTTTTTGTTAATGCTTAACCATGATGACTGTTCATGCTGCTCCATGTGTCAAGCTAATGCTGCGTTTGGCAAGCCTCATAGCATGGAAATGATTAAATAGCATGAAGGAAATTGCTTTGTTTCTGACTTTTTTTTTCATCATATTTGTCCAATAACATAATTTCTACACGGCCGTGTTAACATTTTTTTTATGCTGTAATCTCTACGATCCCGTGGTAATTGACAAAAGGCTGATTTCTCATGATAATGAGATAATTTATCACGAAAAACAGCCGTCGTTTTCTCAAGATCAGGAGTTAATTATCTTTTTTTTCTTGATAATCGGTTAACCCTTTAAAATCTGAGGAAATTGGTTTGATTTCTGTCAAAAACAAAACAAGAAAACACCTGAAAAATTAGTCAAAAACGAAAAGACATTAGTAAAAAAAGAGAAAATGAATGACAAGAAAATTTGTGAAAAAAAACCCCAAACGAACAAGGAAAAGACCTTGAAAAATGCTTAATAATAATAATTAATAATTTATCACAAGAACAACTTTGTTTTGAGATTTAACGAGATAATTTATCACAAGAACAACTTTGTCTTGAGATTTAACGAGATAATTTATCACAAGAACATCTTTGTTTCGAGATTTAGCGAGATAAATTGTCACAAGAACAACTTTGTCTCGAGATTTGCCGAGATAAATTATCACAAGAACAACTTTGTCTCGAGATTTAACGAGATAATTTATCACAAGAACAACTTTGTCTTGAGATTTAACGAGATCATTTATCACAAGAACAACTTTGTCTCCAGATTAAACAAGATAATTTATCACAAGAACAACTTTGTCTCGAGATTTAATGAGATAAATTATCACAAGAACAACTTTGTCTTGAGATTTAATGAGATCATTTATCACAAGAACACCTTTGTCTCGAGATTTGACGAGATAAATTATCACAAGAACAACTTTGTCTCAAGATTTGACGAGATAAATTATCACAAGAACAACTTTGTCTCGAGATTTGACGAGATAATTTATCACAAGAACAACTTTTGTTATTTTAAGATCACGAGAGAGCGGCTTTTGAAAATAAATTGCAAGCACAGCCACCCTTGGCCTCTGTATCACAACAGTGTGCTATCATATCAGATTAATGTCCACGAACTGATCAGGATTTAGCACAAAAAACACTCAGACAGTATTCCTAGTTTTCATGGACTCAAATTTTTCGTTTAATTTTTCTGGGCAATATAAAAGGTAACTTCGTTTGTTTTTTGAGTTAGTGTCGGCCCTTCAGTTTTAAAGGTTTCAAACTGTGCTGTCAAAATCCGTCTTTGGGCTGAAGCTCAGTCTGGTCTTCTCGTCCTCAGGTCGTACAGTATCAGCCTCGGGGACCACAGGGCCTTTCAGGGCCTTCCCCAAGTCTCTCAGCGTCGACTTTGGAGGTCTGAACCACCCTCAGCAGCCTCCTCTGCCCCAGTCTCTGTCCCAGCAGCAGCCTGGAAGTGTCGGCCAGACGACGCCACCGGTCAGCAGCTCCAACGCCCAGGACAGATACGCTGCAGTGTCACATTTGGACAGCGTCTTCTCTGACACGTCAACACCCACAGGTAGGTAATATTGGAGTCTGTGAGAATTGCCTGGATGTTGATTTTTATGAAAATTAACTGACAGAGGCAGAAGCCACTTTGTACTTCTACTCCAGTACAGTGCAGCTCATTAAATTGAGAGGTGTAGTAGCTATTTACTTTTAATACTAAGATTTCAGATATGCAAACACATGATAAGATTATCGAATATTAGGCATTATTCCAGATTAAACACATAACAAGACTGCGATATTTCTCAGGGATTTTTGAGTTCGTTTAAACAGAGGGTTAGTACAAAACTATACTTTAAAATGTTACCTACAGTCTTTTTTGTGCCTTTTGTGTTCAGTTCAATGTTGAGTTTTTTCAGTAAAAGAATGTTAGAAATAATTTCCTTAATTTTTTTAAATTCAACAAGTACTTCGGTGTATTTTATCAGTATACTGAAAGGCAGAACAGAGCAGGGCTGCAACTAACGAGCATGTTCCTTACTGATTAATCTGTAGATTAGGAAGCAGTGAGTAAAGCCTGTTACATTATTAAAGCCTGAAGTGACTTCATCAAATGTTTTGTTTTTGTCCAACCAACATTTCCATACCCAAAAATATAAAATTTACTATCATGTCAGACCAAGGAAAGCGTCAAATCCTCACATTTGACAACCTGGAAGTATCTGAGATTTTAATAATTGTCAGTCTCAAAAATGTTTCACAACAAGCAAAGACTGTAGAAAAGTCTGAGATAAGAAAAAATGTAGCAGAAGCTTTTTTTTTAAATTTTGTTTTGTTTGTTTTTCAGGATCCATTTTTCTGTATGACTTTTTTTAAAAATTATTTCCAGAAACGATATGATATGGAGCTATATCAATATACAAACATACACAAAACGATATAAATAAAATAAAAATGCATTAAAGATATATTGGAAAAATATAA